GGTACTCAGTAAGTGTCAAGCCTAACCTCGGTTGTGTAGTGACGAGGAAGGTCAGGGCCCTACTGAGGTGAAATAAGATATAAGGTTTGACAGTGTAAAATAACAGTGTAAATAAATAACACAAGATATAAAGACAGCAACAACTATCACAGGGCTAGTAAAGCACAGTAAAAGAACATAACTCAGCTCCAAGATAACAACCGGGGATCTCCCAGGATACCGTCCTGTAGTCCCTAAATAGAAATATCATATCCAGTGGATCTCCCGGGTGCAGTCCCGTAGTCCAACGCATAAATGTGCAGAGGGGATCTCCCGGAGTACAATTCCGTAGTCCCAAAGTAAACATACAGGGGAGCTCCCAGGATACCGTCCCGTAGTCCCAAAGTAAAAGTGCTGGGGGATCTCCCGGAATACCGTTCCGTAGTCCCAAAGTAAATTACACAGCAATAACAAGAATTTAATAAATGCTAAATTTCGTACTAAGTAAACAGATAAGTCTAGCCTAACATGCTTCACGTAATGCAATTGAGGCAATTTAAGCAAATAGGCAATTAAGTCAACTAAACATGCTTTTCTAAACTAACAACGGGCTAAATACGAAAGTATAATGAAACAGGAGAAGGAACTCAACTGAAATACTTAAAGAAAACCGGATTTTCAACAATTAGATCAAGCACACGCTCGTCACCTCACGTACGAGGCATTTCAATTACCACGATATCAATCCTAAAGGGAAAGGTCCCCCACACAAGGTTAGAAAAGCCACTTACCTCGAACAAGTGAAAGTCAACCCGAAACCACGCCTTTGCCACGAGTATCCGACTCCAAATGGCCCAAATCTATTCAATTCAATTTCATAATGTAAATAACACTTCAAATAACTGATTCTATAGTTAAATTCTAAGCTAAGACGTGAAATTAGGTAAAATGACCAAAATGCCCCTCGGGCCCGCATCTCGGAATCGGGTAAAATTTATATTTCCAGAATCCTCATACTCTCACGAGTTCAGGCATACAAATATTATCCAAATCCAAGGTCAAACTCCCAATCAAAAGTCAAATTTTAGGTCTAGGAACTTTCTTCCAACTTTTCCCCAATTTTCATCCCCAATCCGAATTTAAATGGTGAAATTAACAATAGATTGATGGAATATAACTAGAAAGGGTTAGAGAATCGTTACCCAATGATCTCCTCTTCAATTCCTCTCAAAATCGCCCTCTCCCGAGCTCCAAATCGATTTTTCAACTTTTGAAATAAAACCCTCGAAATCTCATATTTCTGCCCAGCTGTTTCCGCATCTGCGGTCCCGCTTCTGCAGAAACCACGTCGCATCTGCGACTCTCATTAAAATGCCAGCTTCCGCATCTGCGGACCCCTAACCGCAGGAGCGGTTCCGCTTCTGCGAGCTCTTAACTGCATCTGCGGTTCCTGAAGACTTGACCCAAAGCCGCTTCTGTGGAACTTTAGCCGCTTCTGCGGCGCCGCATCTGCGGTCCCCAAACCGCAGATGCGAAAATACGAGAAGCTGCAATGCTACAGCAGCTACAACACTTCCTCAACCTTCCCGTCAACCATCCGAAATCACCCCGAGGCCCCCAGGACCTCAACCAAAAGCACCAACATCACCTAATACCTTATTCAAACTTGTACCAATCCTTAAAACACCTAAAACAACATCGGAACCTCGAATTAATCAAGGATTTAAGCCTAAGTACTCCAAATTTCCCAAAAGTACGGTTTCGATCAAAAACCTAACCAAACCATCTCCGAATAACCTGAAATTTTGCACACACATCCCAAATGACATGAAGGAACTACTGAAAGTCTCGAAATTCCATTCCGACCCTCGGATCAAAATTTCACTATCGAACCGGAAATCTTCCAAAATTCAACCTTTGGCATTTCAAGCCTAAATTAGCTACGAACCTCCAAAACACAATCCGACCATGCCCCTAAACCTGGAAACACCTAACGGAGCTAACGGAACCATCAGATTTCCATTCCGAGGCCGTCTTCACACTATTCCGACTACAGTCAACTTTCCAACACTTAAGCTCTCATTTCGGGACTAAGTGTCCCAAAACTCTCCGAAACTCAAAACCGAACATCCTGGCAATTCAGAATAGCAGAAATAAACTTGGGGAAAGCAGTTAATAGGGGATCGGGACATAAATTCCAAAAACGACCGGCCGGATCATTACATCAAGGCCTTGAGTTGGAGATATGGAGAGGGGTGGAGGAGAGGAAGAGATGGTGCTATTTTTGGGTGTTTGGAGGCTGGCAGCGGCGCCTCCGTGGAGAGGGGAGGCAGCGAAAGAGTGGGGAATGGAGAAAGAAGAAGAGGCTCTAGGGTTTAGAGTTATGGGAGAAATGGCCCATTTTTCTGATTTTAGAGGCATTCTATACCTCTTGGAGGATCAAATGAGGACCATTTGATCAAGAGAGAATGAAAGGCTGAGACTGAATCTTAGTTTCACTTAATAAAACGACGTAGTTTAATCATGAAACTACGCCATTTTGGACAAGTTCTTGGCATGCCATTTATTGGACCATGTATGGCCGAATTGGGCTCAAATTTTGGGCCAATTTGGGATCAATTTTAATTAAAATACACTAGCCCAATCCATTTTCCCTCTAATGAAATTATAGTCTTATTTAGTCTTAAAGAAAATGTACAAGTAGAAAGATTTTTTTTTGGTATATATAATTAAAAGATGCAAACTAAAATATACTAATAAAAGGTAGAAAATATTTTTAGTACTTTTAATTTAAGGAATTCACAAACATGCACAAATGAAGAAAGAACTATTTATTTATTTTTTGGGTATTTTAATGATAGGAAATATGCTATTAAAGACACAAAAATTGAGAAAAAAAATAAAATAACTAAACGCTAATGACTTTAGGAGTTGTTAAAATATAATACAAAAATTAGGTATTCACCCGAGGTTGCCTGCATATCCTTGTTTAGAGGAATCAGGTCAGTTTAGTTCTACAAATATTTGGTAGTTGGGACTACTGGACACTGAGTTAAGACTGTTGCTACTGCTGTTGTTACTATTATTGTTACTTGTTGCTTACATCAAAAGGAAAAGAGAAGAGAGCTACATATGTCTATAAACTAGGAGTTACATAATTTCTATATATGTTCCTTCTGGAGTCAAATCTTGATTCTTGACCTGCTTGCTTGTGTTAACCTTAGATTGGAAAAGAGAGCTACATATCTCAGTTGCTTGCTTTCCTGATCCGAAATTGAGAAGATGAATCTTGAGAAGCTGGGTTGCTGACACATTGTGAAAGTTAACTCCAACTATCCTGTGATCGAAAGACTTCTTCCTTCTAATGATAACTGAAACTGCAAGCTTTGATCGTCACAACTTGTGCTCTACGGCAGAGGCTTCAAAGCCATCAAAGACGAAAAAAGCGAACAAAATTTTCTGCCCCAGTTCGCACTGAGAAAATTTTGTGAGTTATTGGGTAAAGCTGCAGATCAGCTTATTTTATTTGAAAGATGCAAAAATGGTACTGAAGACTCCGAATCGAATGTGCTTCTCTTAAGAGTAGAAAACATAGACTAGAAGGTGCATCTTCCAGGGGTAACATTGGAATGACTACGAGATTAAAGGACTCGAACTAGGAGTTGCGTCTCCTAGTATTGATGATTCACATTAGGAAGTGCATCTCCTATCAGAATGGATAGGGTTGACTCAAGCTAGGAAGTGCGTCTCCTACAAGTGAGGTTGAAGGACTCGGAATAGGAAGTGTGTCTCATAGGAATAAAGTTATAGATTAGAAAGTGCATCTCCTATTCGAATGATTCAAGTTAGAAAGTGTGTCTCCTACGAGTGAGGTTGAAGGACTTGTACTGGGAAGTGCGTTTCCTAGGAATAAAGGTCCAGATTAGGAAGTGCGTCTCCTACGATGTGAGATTGAGGGACTTGGACTAGGAAGTGCATCTCCTATGATTGATGGTTCAGATTAGGAAGTGTGTCTCCTATTAGAATGGCTCAATGAGGTTGAAAGGCTTGGACTAGGAAGTGTGTCTCCTTGAATTAATGGTTCAGATTAGGAAGTGTGTCTCCTATTGGAATGGCTCAAACTAGGAAATGTGTCTCCTACGAATGAGGTTGAAAGGTTTGGACTAGGAAATGCGTCTCCTAGGATTAATGGCTCAGATTAGGAAGTGCATCTCCTATGGAAATGACTCAAACAAGGAAGTACATCTCCTACGAGTGAGGTTGAAGGGCTTGGACTAGGAAGTGCGTCTCCTAGGATTAATGGTTCAGATCAGGAAGTGTGTCTCCTAATGAAATGACTCAAACTAGGAAGTGCATGAGTGAGGTTAAAGGGCTTGGACTAGGAAGTGCATCTCCTAGGATTGATGGTTAGATTAGGAAGTGCGTCTCCTATGAATGAGGTTGAAAGACTTGGACTAGGAAGTGCGTCTCCTAGGATTCTTGGTTTAGATCTCCTACTAGAATGACTCAAACTAGGAAGTGCGTCTCCTACGAGTGAGGTTGAAAGACTTGGACTAGGAAGTGCGTCTCCTAAGACTGGTGGTATAGATTAGGAAGTGCGTCTCCTACTGGAATGACTCAAACTAGGAAGTGCATCTCATACGAGTGAGGTAGAAAAACTTGGACTAGGAAGTGCGTCTCCTAGGATTAATGGTTCATATTAGGAAGTGTGTCTCCTACTAGAATTACTCAAACTAGGAAGTGTAATTTTGTATAAATTTTGTTCTATTTCTGCACACTGCATTAAAATAATAAAATAACAACTAATGTTTATTAAAATAATATATTATAGCAGATCATAATTTTATAAGATTAATATTCTGTCAAATTATTCACGCATCGCACGGGTATTAGTGATAATAATAACTTCTCATCCTTATAGGGATTAATACCGAGGTTAACCAAGACGAAGAGAAAAAAACAAATAGAAATCGTCAAATATCAACAGAAGAGGAGAGAGTGAGAGAAAGAAATCAGAAAAGAAAACAAATGCACCAACATTATGAAAAAACAATATAACAAAATAAAATCGACAAAATAACAGAAAGCACAAAATAACGAGCTTGTTCTTAATTGTATTTTAGAAGCTCATTTTTTTTCCAAAAGCCTTCTTCCCTCTTTACTTTTTTCCTTCAGTTTTTTCCTATCTATCTCTACATAGATAGGGAAAATTTAGAAGCTTTGTTTAATTTCTAGTTTTGCATGCATGCAGAACTGGAAATTAAACAAAGCTTTTAGCCTTCAGATTTCTTAATTTTTCCAAGATGGGATTTGGCAATCCGACCGTCACCTCCCTTAGGAAAAAAACCACCCGGTTTATTTTCTTTTCCAGTTCCGTACACTATCCGGAGTATTTCCTCAGGCGTCCGATCGTAGGCAAGAGAGTGTTTGTCGCCGGCCAACACATTCCCTTTTATCTTCCCTTCGGCACCTTCCTTTGGTTTTACAATAAGCCCTTCATCTTTCAATCCTCGATGTCCTAGCTTGTTCCTCAGCTTCGATATCCGGCTCGTGAATTCTGCCACTGGTATTCCGTAGGGTTCCACCTTCTCTATTGCTCTCTGATATAGTAACGTCCTTAGAACTGCATCTTGCCCTGATTCCACTCCTAATAATCCTGCTGCTAACTGGAAATATTCACATGACGTGTATAAGTTATTCCTTATTAGTCCGAAAAGAAAAGAAAAAAAGAACATTTATGATCTGCGCGAAATATGGCATCTTTGTCGTTCTCTAGCCTAGGGTCTATCGAAAATAACCTCTTTGTCCTTCCAGAGATAGACGTAAGGCTGCGTACATCTTACCCTTCACAGACCCCACTTATGAGAAACGATTGGGTTTGTTGTTGTTACTCTAACATCGACAACTTTAAGGGCAGTGTTGTTAATTTTAGTGACGGATGTCTGAAATCATACTAGTGTGTTTGGTATAATGCAAGCAGGGATAGATCCAGCACAATAACTACGGGTTTCCTTGAACCCATTAACTTTTGTCTAATAATCATACTGCTAACTGAAAATATTCACATGACGTGTACAAGTCATTCCTTATTAGTTTGAAAAGAAAAGAAAAGAAAAAAAAAAAAAAACATTTATGATCAGTACTCTAACTGCAAAAGCTTAGGTGGGCAGTGTTGTTTTCGCGACGGATGTCTGAAATCATACTAGTACGTGTTTGGTATGATGTAAGCAAGGGCCGATCCAGCACAATAATTATGGGTTCCCGTGAACCTAGTAGTTTTTGTCTAAATTCTGTATTTGTATTGAAAAATCTATTAAATGTATGAGAATATTAAGTTTGGAACTCAACCGTTAATCCAGTTATTATTATATATTAATTGAATATTTTTTAGAAACTCATAAACTTAAAATTTTGGATCCGCCTCTGAATGTAAGTTATTTTAAAGGAACATTATCCGTAATAACACTGAAACGGAAGGCTACCAATTTATAAATTTAGCTACTAGACGTGAAATACTGGAGACACATAAGGAATCGCTAGCAAGTCAAATACAAAAAAAGGAAATCTGATCCTATATTTTTTTATGAAAATTAATTGAAGTGAGATTTAGTTATTACTCATTTTGTTTCAATTTAGATGGCACATTTTCTTTATTATTCCGTTCCAAAAAGAACGACACATTTCTACTAATAATTCAACTTTAAACTCTTCATCTCACCCATTTTACCTTTAATGAGAAGTTTTTATAATCACACAAATGTCCCGACCCCAAAAAACTTTTACCCCTTAAGCTTTTAAGACCGCGAGTTTCAAAATTTATTTTTTTCTTGAACTCTATGCCGAGTCAAACTACCTCATCTAAATTAAAACGGGAGGAGTACCTTTTTAGCCGTAGGACTCTGGAGTTTAGGATTAGCTCCAACATATCCAGTGAGACCAACATAAGGAACAACATAGGATGCAAGAAGAAAGTTAATGTCATTAGCGTATGGATTGAAAGGTGGTTCCAGAGTATGTCCAAATGCATCGTTCATAATTGTGCCAAATGACTCTGCGCTAAGATTTAGCAATGGTCTTGGAAATCCTGCTACTGTCTTCTTGATTGCCCTGCATATCAATTTGTCATTTCATTTAATACTAACATATTGCAGGTACAAATTAACATCATATTCACTAAAGGCTTGTTTGGTAGGGTGTATAAGAATAATGCTGAATAAGGTGTATTAGTAATACAAGGATAAGTAATGCATGGGTTAGTAATGCAATCATTAGTTATGCAGAGATTATTTCTTATTCACTGTTTGATGTGGTGTATTAATAATAAAATGCATTGCACAATTTTTAAGAAAATTAGTTGTATACAAAAATATCCTCCATATTCTTTAATTCTAAGGGACTTTAAGGACAATTTTATCTTTAACCATGCTAATGCATGCATTAATAGCCTTGGTATTGTTAATATCATGGTTTGCTATGTATTACTTATACATAGAATAATACTAGCAAATAGGGTGTATAATAACCAATACTTGCATTACTAATATATAGGTTGAAAAAGTGCACCAAACAAGAGATTAGTAACAGTGGTGGAACAGAACAAGATTTCCGCTAAGAGGTTCAAAAAAGAAAAAAGTTGAAAAAGATTATAGCTAGTGGGAATTGAACCAATGAGCTTACAAAGATTTTGAACCCCGTTGACCACTAAGCTATGCTTTTGAGCTATGTTAAGGGGATTCAAACATAATATATAGAGGTAAGAAAACAGATTTTGCCTTATATATATACAGTGTAATTTTTCGGCGATGAAGATTCGGATGAATCCTCTTTCGTCCCTTAAATCCGCCCCTGATTAGTAATATCAAATGCTAATGCATGCATTATTTTCTGAAATGCATACCGGACGACCCCTTAAATTGTTTTAAATTGAGATGAAGAATACCTCAAATGACCAACTTCTTGGAAACCAAACTGGGCAATAACATCTTTAATAAGAGGGCTAAGTTTGGCAATTTTGGCACCAATTGGTGGCGGCCCACCGGCGGCAAGGTCAGGTGAGAAGCTATCCAAGCCACGGCCAAAAGCTGCCCACAAAAAAAATTCAGCTTCTAAATACTCTAAATTCAGTGGAAATTCTAATAAATCCACGTCTGATTTTCCCACATGATAATTATCATTATTATCACAATCCATAAAAAACTCATGATTAGTAGCTTCAATGGCATAACTTAAACTTGGTAGTAGTAGAAGAAGAAAAAATAATGCAGAAAACTGAGCTAGTTTCATGTTGGAAAGAAAAAAGATAAGTTATTTCTATTGTGTTATGGGTTTATTTTATGTGTTATTTTTGTATTCTCTTTAGACTTCTTCTTTTTCATGCACGGTGTGTTTCACTAGGCGTTGGCTATGTATAAATTTATACAGAAAGGGAAGAGAAATAGACAAATGCAAGCAGAAGAAAGAGTAAAATCTTGAGAAAACAAGGTGGGAAAGAGGTTTGGTTGAGAAGGATTTGGATCATCATTTGGTTGCAATATTAGTGGAACTTTATGTTAAATTTGACGTTTTCTTTTTTAGTTT